ACTGGGGGAAGCGGTCCATTCTCGTGAGGGGGCGGGGGTGGCACCGGGGGATGCGGTCCAAGGGGCTGCTGGCGCCCAGGTGGCACCGGGGGAAGCAGTCCATTCACGTAAGGCGGGCACAGGAGCTTGGGTGGCACCGGGGGATGCGGTCCATTCGCGTTGGGGAGCGGGGGTGGCACCGGGGGATGCGGTCCAAGGGGCTGCTGGCGCCCAGGTGGCACCGGGGGAAGCAGTCCATTCGCGCAGGGCGGGCACAGGAGCTTGGGTGGCACCGGGGGATGCGGTCCATTCACGTTGGGGGGCGGGGGTGGCACCGGGGGATGCGGTCCAAGGGGCTGCTGGCGCCCAGGTGGCACCGGGGGAAGCAGTCCATTCACGTAAGGCGGGCACAGGAGCTTGGGTGGCACCGGGGGATGCGGTCCATTCGCGTTGGGGAGCGGGGGTGGCACCGGGGGATGCGGTCCAAGGGGCTGCTGGCGCCCAGGTGGCACCGGGGGAAGCAGTCCATTCGCGTAAGGCGGGCACAGGAGCTTGGGTGGCACCGGGGGATGCGGTCCATTCCCGTTGGGGGGCGGGCGTGGCACCGGGGGATGCGGTCCAAGGGGCTGCTGGTGCCCAGGTGGCACCGGGGGAAGCAGTCCATTCGCGCAGGGCGGGCACAGGAGCTTGGGTGGCACCGGGGGATGCGGTCCATTCGCGTTGGGGGGCGGGGGTGGCACCGGGGGATGCGGTCCACGGGGCTGCTGGTGCAAAGGTGGCACCGGGGGATGCAGTCCATTCGCGTAAGGCGGGCACAGGAGCTTGGGTGGCACCAGGGGATGCGGTCCATTCACGTTGGGGTGCAGGAGTTGCGCCTGATGAACCCACCAAGAAAAGGTTGGGGGGGAAACGTTGGATTTCCTAGGCTGAATGGTGAACCAAACTCCCGTCTGTCCAAGAGGGTTACTTCTGTACTTCTGCATAACTCACTAGCCCCCTGTCCTTCCTCAACTAGCTGCTACCCGACGAGGAAGCAACAGCCGAGGCTACATGCAACAGCTGCAAACACGGGCCGGCCGGAGCAACACAAGCGAACGGCTTTTCCTACAACACGGGCAGCGAATCATGCAAGTAACTACGGAGGACTCGAACTTCGCACGATGTCTCACGTAGGCCTACTGACACGCCCGTTCCACCCGACCACACGAGATGCAATGATGGGGGTAGCGAGGGAGGGCCTTACAGCGACTGGAAAACTAAATGCCACATCGCGCGTGTGTGTATGTTGCTTACGACAGAACGAGGAACACAGCGACGCCCCAAGAAGAACCAATAACAGCAATACTTTCTTTCCCGTCGCGCGCACGCAGTGTTTTAATTTTCCATCCGTCTCAGTCGTTTTCGCGTCCGTACTCGGTTTTGGTTTGTGTTTGCTTTCGCCGATCGCGGTACCGTCGTTACCATAAGTGATACCACATCGATCAAACGTAGCGGCCCCAAAATGAGCGCGCGAACGACTTCGCCCAGGTCTGTGGAGGGGCATCGGGGGGGGGGGGGGGGAGGAAGATCTCTCCCGCCCCTCCTCCGCCTTCGCAACCGGAGAGGAGGAAAATTTCTATCTACTCGCGCGCGCGGACGGGAAGACGCGGGTGTCGGCACGTTGGCACGAGATCATTCGGATCGTGAGCAGGGCGTCCGTCGAGAGAAGAGAAAGTGAAGCCCTCTTTCCTCTCCTACCCAAAGAGACACTCTCGCATCGGCGGGCGGCGGTTGGTTTCGGCTGGGCTCGTCACTCCGTCAGGCGGCCACGCCGGGCAGGAGACGGGCGATCGCATCGCAGAATCGGATCTTATTCGCGCGTCGGATTCGGTCCGGATCTTACTCGCCCTAAAAGGTATAGCTACTCGCGCTGGATATTGGTTGACTCACCGGGGGATGCGGTCCACGGGGCTGCCGGTGCCCAGGTAGCTCCGGGGGATGCCGTCCACTCGCGTTGGGGGGCGGGTGTGGCACCGGGGGATGCGGTCCAAGGGGCTGCTGGCGCAAAGGTGGCACCGGGGGACGCAGTCCACTCGCGTTGGGGAGCGGGGGTGGCACCGGGGGATGCGGTCCAAGGGGCTGCTGGTGCAACGGTGGCACCGGGGGACGCAGTCCACTCGCGTTGGGGAGCGGGGGTGGCACCGGGGGAAGCAGTCCATTCGCGTAGGGCGGGCACCGGAGCTAGGGTGGTACCGGGGGAAGCGGTCCATTCGCGTTGGGGGGCGGGGGTAGCACCGGGGGATGCGGTCCACGGGGCTGCTGGTGCAAAGGTGGCACCGGGGGACGCAGTCCACTCGCGTTGGGGAGCGGGGGTGGCACCGGGGGAAGCGGTCCAAGGGGCTGCGGGCGCCCAAGTGGCACCGGGGGAAGCAGTCCATTCGCGCAGGGCGGGCACCGGAGCTTGGGTGGTACCGGGAGGTGCAGTCCACTCGCGCTGGGGAGCAGGGGTGGCTCCTGATGAACACGCCGGCAATGAAAAAAGGTTGAGGCATGTATGGTATGTGGTGGGCGGGTGGGCAAAAAATAAACAAGTGAGAGCCTGTTTGAGTTTGCTTTGAGTTCGAGCAAAGACTTGCAGTTCAGTCAAGGTCTAACCTTAAAAAAAAGCAAGGCACCCTGCGCTCTCACGTTGAACGTTCACTTTTCGCTGGTCGGATAAATTGCCACCGACAAGGTTGCAAAAAGAACAACTCCTCTTTTTTTTTTCTGAATACGACCCAACGAATCCATCTATAAAGAGTCTAAAATAGATGAGCAATTAACTCATAGCGCCAGAGAAAGCTACCTGTATTACCACGGTCTATTCTTATTTCGCCGGCGCGTATTCATGCCGCGTTTCGGTTCGAAATGACGCCGCGTGTCGGTTCGCATCACAACTCGTTTCGGTTCGTATCATACCGCGTTTGGGGCCGTTTCGCGCCTTAGCAGCCGGTTGCTGTGCGTTGTGCATCGCGGGGGAGGGGGGGAAAGGTCCGTAATACCTCCCCTCGTCGGCCGGTCGCTCGCTCGCATCGCATCGCATCGCATCGTCGAAAACACCGCGTGCTAATCGTACCTGGGGAAGCGGTCCAAGGGGCAGCTGGCGCCCAGGTAGCACCGGGGGAAGCAGTCCATTCACGTTGGGGAGCGGGCGTGGCACCAGGGGAAGCCGTCCATTCACGCTGGGGAGCGGGCGTGGCACCCGGCGACGCGGTCCATTCGCGTTGGGGGGCGGGCGTGGCACCTGAAAATAATAACATCCATGAACAAATTGCGAACGTTTTGAGTCATGGGAGGGGTGGGGGGAGGGTGGGGGGTGGGGACGAACTGTGCGGAAAGGAAGAACCGCGTACCGTAGCAGCCCGGACAAAAAAGCACGACATTGCGTATGTCGTTTTCAAGTCTTTTTGACACGCGGCAGACGAGCAGCAGAGAGACGCCTACGCAATTGATTCAAGGCGATCTTGAAAACACTATTCTAACGATCACGCCTACGATGGCATTACTCACAGCCCATCCACTAAGCAAGAAGAGCGGTCCGGAGTAAGCAACGCGGGAGGGCCGGACATTCGTCGTCAAGCCCATACTTCGTGTGCAGTTGGGCGCACCTCCCGACGCTGGGTCAATTTTCACTTAAAATCCAATATACCAAAACAAAAGCAACCTTCCCACCATTGAGTTCTGACAAATTCTACTGCTGTTATCAGTAGAGGGCCGGCCCCATGAAGAGGCATCAGCGTGCTGGCACGTGCAGGTTCGGTACTGAAG